GTCTCAAGTTAATTGCTAAAATTGAGTGAGAAGTCACTGTAGAAACTCTATAGTTCAGTTTACTAGAGCAAAAATACTACTAGGATAAGTAACCTCATCAGAGTCTTGTATTGGACTGTTTAGCCTGACATTTATTATTTAAATGTGAAATATTTATTCTTTGACCTTAAATCTGCTATATACTACTGGAACAGATATACTTGAGAAATGAAAATATGAATAAGGTCTTCGGCAACTAGATTTTATGCATGTTCCTCATATTATCCATCTGATTGTTTACAGCTTCAAATTTGCCTCTCTTTAACAAATAAAAATATTCAGATTGATTGAAGTAGTCTCATCTGCGGAACCGTAATTGAATATGGTTCTCTCTAGAAGCTTCCTTTTCTTCTTCCTTTTCTTTTCTCCTGGTCTCATGCATGGGATTTAGATGCACACAACCCTCTTTTTCTTGTTATAATACTAGGCCTATTCTTATGTATTTTGGATATTACGTACTTCAACCTTTGTTTCTGGGACATCATTGTGATTCTCAGAGTTATCTGACTTACTAGTGATTGATAGGTTTTACCTTTTGTTATGTGCTTCTGTGACATGTAGCTTTGGTGCATCAGTTGGTGTATCTTTCTCTAATTAATGTTTTTCACTTCTTTTTGCATTATTTAACTTTTTGTAGAACTTATTTCTCATAGTCTATCATTATATGCCCACAGGCCATGAACTTCTTTGCAGGCTTGTTACTGTTGCTGATGCCAGAGGAAAACGCTTTTTGGTATGTTTGCTTTACCAGAAAAAACCCTGTAGTAGTGTACATTATTGAAGATTAGTTACTTGAAGGCTGAACATGATGTGATTTTTACAACAAGAAATATTACTTGTAGCAAAAGAAGATAGATGCATCCGGTCTTTTGGTCCTAAGTGTAAATGATTTCTGTCAGGACCTTAATGGGTTTAATTGATGACTATTTTGATGGCTACTATTCTGAGGAAATGATAGAATCTCAGGTAATCATCTCTCGCATGTTCTGTGTGGCGTGCCAAACATTTTCTTGGTTTTCTTCTGATCCTGTGAACTTAAGTTGTAGTTAATTAAATAATGCATTTAGCTGCTTCTTAATATCACATGTTTGTGTATTCATCTATCCTTTTCAGGTGGATCAACTTGTTTTTGAGGAGTTAGTGAACGAGAAATTCTCAAAACTGGGTTAGTATTATGATGTAAAATATGCATATTGGTTCCATCATTATCTTTTGCGTATGCATATGTTTCATAGATAACATATACTAGACACTTATGCATTTTTTCGATGCTTCTTTGTAGTTAATCATCTAGATTACCTCGGTGTTCAAGTGGCATGGGTTACTGGAGCTTGGTTCCTTTCCATTTTTATGAATATGCTTCCCTGGGAAAGTGGTCAGGTTTTATGTCATGTCACTTAATATTCCATTAAGAAAAATGGTTTTTGTGTAGTTTTGTTTGTATCTTCCTCTTAAGCTAATATTATGATGTCATGCAAACATCTTTGTTCCTGATCTCCATAATTCAGTTATTCGTATCTGGGATGTCCTTCTCTTTGATGGTAACCGGGTGATGATATTTCGGACGGCTCTTGCTTTGCTGGAGTTATATGGTACTGGGTAAATCACTTTGGGTTTTTATAATGGTCTAGCATATTGATTTAAAAATATTGACAAGAATCAGTTGGGAATTACTGGGATCTGTCACCTAGGACCTGCATTGGTGACAACTAAGGATGCTGGAGATGCAATTACATTACTGCAATCCCTTGCTGGATCAACCTTTGACAGCAGCCAACTTGTCCTGACAGCTTGTATGGGTTACCAAGGTGTGAATGAAATAAGATTGCAAGAGTTACGAAACAAACATCGGCCAGATGTTTTAGCTGCTATGGAGGAAAGGGCTCAAGGACTTGCTTCTAAGGACTCCAAGGGCCTTGCATCTAAACTATATAGCTTCAAACATGATCCAGGATCATTACTACAAGAGACCAATTCCAAAGAAGGAGAAGGTAAGACACATCCAAATGGGGATATGCAGGCCGAATTTGAGCGATACTTCAATGGTCATGTTGCTGAAACGGAGTTGGATTCTGTACCTGATCTTCAAGAACAAGTAATTTTTTATTTCCTAAACTTAAAATATGATTGTCTTCCTTTCTGAAAAGTGCAAGACGAACAAATGCTACAGTAATGCAATGCAGCATCATCCCATGTATACCTTTATATACGAATTGTACAGTCTAGATATTGCCTGCTTATTTCAACGTTATAATCTGTTGGGAGTAGACTTGAGCATACTGTGATAACAACAAAGAACCCACAGATCATGGATCTGATTCTCAGAAATAAAGAAACTAGCCAATAACTGAAATCCTTTAGCGATCATAATATTAAGTGACACTGATAAATTCTCACTGCGGTGAATTTAGCTACAACACTAGTTAGCCTCTTCTCTAATTACCAATCAAATAAATAATTGGAGAAAACTAATCTTTCCATCCTTTCCAGCTCTTGGTTTGACCAATCCAAACCCATGAATGTTTTACTTTTACCTAATAACTAAAACATCTCTCTTACCAGAAAACTGTTATTCAGTGAAATTCAAAATCTTCTCCCTGTTTAGCTGTAGCACTTGTTTTTTTTTCAGTGATGTAATTGTAACTTAGCTATGTTGCATATTACCTTCTTCTATTTCTGACCATGTTTTCTCCATTCAGTTGAACTTGAGTTTGATCTAAATCTACAGAGCAAGCACCATATCTGTACATGTTTTTTTATTTAAATCACTGCCAAAGCATTTTATCCCCTGAATACTTTTGCTCTTGGAGGCATTTTATCAACTTTAGGCAACTGTAGCCATGAGGTATTCTGTTAAAGATATATGCACAATCAGTAGAAAAATAGCATAATTCACAATTTATTTCAGATATAGGTTGTTACTTAGTATCTGCAAGTTCGGTGATACATAATGCATTACGACTGTTTATGGAAATATCTAGATATTTGTGACTCGTATCACATTCTGACTGCATGTAAATCACATGAATGGCTATGTAATACATATGACTAATTTGTGGTAGCTCTCACAAAAACATAATTCAAAATCTATTGTTCTAAAGAGTTACAAAGTTTATGTTTCGAAAACAATAACAGTCTGAAGTCCTTCTGGTGGTCTTGAGGTTTTTTAGAATCTGATGTGATATTTTTTTGTCTTTTATATTAGACAAAGTTAGTGTTATACTTTTCCTTTACATTTTTGTTGCTACAACCTAATTACAAAATTGGGATAGCTGAATTGGGATTAATTTCTTTAATCACTTAAATGTTTATTTCTTAGTCAACGTTTCAAGGTCAAGATACATGCACTGCTTAGAGTTTGTATGCATATTGTATAGACATAGATTGGCTAGCCGATATTATGATGCACAATAAATCAAAACAGATGAGAAGTAGGCAACTAAGGTTCATGTCCTGATTTCTTGACAGTGTTAAGCGGACTTTAGCCATTGCAATCTTGAATAAAGTCACCATACCCTCAATTGCATGATTGAGGGACGATTTATGTTAGAATGGAAGAATGTTTCGAATTTTGATAACTCATTTGTTTTTTTATTCACAGTTTAAAAGTTGCCTCTACACCCAAAATCAGAACTTGACATATATAATAACTGTAGACATATCATTTATTTTACGAAATATGGAAAATTTTCCATTGTATATAGCCTATTATATCTTGGTGATAGCCTATACTAGATGCATGGCATTTTTTTATTACAAATAACAGATTTTGTGATGCCTCTCTAATAGTCCCACGTCGTGAAATTAATAGAGTTTAAGAGGGTTCAAATGATGGATCTTGACTTCTTGAGGGCCAAGTGCAGCAGTAACTAGTCAATTTTGGTGTTGGATTGAGCTAAACCATATGTTGCATTCTGTAGGTCCTAGGGCTTACATAGCATTAGTGGGCTAGCGAGCCCTAGGTGTGATAGATGTTAGTGGGTTGTTTTCAAGATCACAAAAAGCACTAGGCAGCCTAGGTGTCGTACCTGGCGAGCTAAGGTGGGGAGCCTTGGCATTTTCTTTTTTTATTTTTTAATTACAATCAATATTATTAAAGGTGCTAACTACCATGAGATGCCAAACTAGCGCCTAGCATCTATGTACTAGAACTAGGAGGATTTTTTTAAAATGGTGATGAAAAGATGTTGTTAAAGGTCGAAGGAGTTAGATGAGGTGTTTGTAGTTGGTGTAGGAGGCCAAGGAGGTGAAGGTAGCAATAGAGAAAATCACGGTCAAGACATGTGCCATCTGTGTAAGCGGTCGCTGCTCCCCTAGGCTCGCTCAAGATCTAGGTGGGCAGCGCTTAGGTAGCCTAGGTACCGCCTCGATCTAGGTGGGAGCCCAGGTGGGTTATGGGGTAGCTTTTTAAAACATGGGGTTGTTTTTGGGAGTAAAATAAAGCTAAATTTTGAGAAACTACTATGAACTTTGGGTTGGTTCTAAATACCTAACGTGTACTTTTTTTTATTACACAATTATCATAAACTTGCATGTTGTCTAGAAGACTACTCTGATCTTTCATAAAACTATGATGAACTCCGTAGATACATGACTAGAAAAGCTCATTCTAGTTTTAAAGATAGGTTACAAAGTAGTTAGTGAAATTTAGCCATACAAGTCAGGTTGAGGAATTTGGAAAAACAAAAGCAATTTGAAACTAGGCAATATAATCATAAATCAATTTCAAAACTAGTAACCAACTGTTTACAGAATTTTCTTGCTCAAATATGTATGTTATAGGTTGCCACCTGTGTTGCATGGGTACAAGCTACATACACTCTCTTTCTCTCCTGCTATATATATATATATATATGGAAAATATGTATATGAGCTAACAGACCATCTTGTAATAATGTAAAATGGACTATCGGCTAAATGCCCATGCTGAGCCCCCCTTTAGTCACATTGGGATGGGCGCTCACATGGCAATGAGCTGGTAGCTTATTTTGCCCAGAGTGAGAAACTGCTAACTCATACCCAGTATCCTATATATATATATATATATATTATATATATTATATATATATATATATAATATATATATATATATATATATATATATATATGTGTGTGTGTGTGTGTGTGGTGCTGTGTGTGGTGTGTGTGTGTGGTTGTGTGTGCGCCTGCGCGCGCGTGCGTGTGCATGTGATGCGCGTCGCGTATGTGCGCACACGCACATGTCCTTGTGTCTGCCTGCGTGCATGTGCGCGCATGTGTGCGTGTAGACTATAAATTGGAAAATCACTAGTTTTTGAACTAGACATCCAAACAATCCTTCAAAGTCATAATTCGGAATCTGACATATGTCCAACAAGTTTTAAGAAGTGGATGTGAAGTGTTGGATATATGTCCAAAAAGGCCTTTTAAATTAAAACATGTATTATATAATTGAGTATATGCCCAAATAAATGTATGCATAATTGCATATATGCAAGGAGTGTCTAGGTAGTTTAGGTATGGTTATGGTTACAGATACGTGTCAGGTATGGGTATGGCTTCAGATTAGAAGTACCCATGTAACCTAGGTTGCACTTAAAATTGATGGGCATGGACTCCTACTCCATTGATAGTTTTGGTCTTCAAACATGTTTTGTTTCAATTCACGCTATTGAGGATGAAGATTGTGATAACAATCTTGCTGGTATACAAGCATCACCAGTTTTGGAAGGAAAAAATTGCATAAAAGTATCAATGGTATTTTTAATAAATAATATATGAATGTATTGTCATTTTTTTATTGGTGTGCATGTTGGTTTATTCCCATTGAAGCATGCAATATGAACATTACCTTTTTCTTATGTTGTTCACTATTGTTTTAATTTTCTGGAATTTATATAGCGAATTTGGTACAGATCACATGGTTGAAGGTCGAGTTGTGCAAACTGTTGGAGGAGAAAAGATCCACTATTCTCAGGTTTCCACTTGCTTGCATTTTAGATTGTCTATTTTCTCTTAAAGGGCTTCAAGTTCATCAGATACCATCATGCAACAATATAAATAAGACATATATTTTTTAATTTATTTGAGGAATCTGATTCCTGTATTGTAGCATTTCCAAGTGCAATTTGCAATATGCTTTGGTTTGTGGCAATATCATTTTTTTGTTGGATGTCTCGGAGGAAGCATTTTCTACCACATAAATTTTGGTTTTGAGTTTTTCCACAAGACCTTCACCATCTGGGATTTTTATTCCTCACTGAAATATTGATCATATCATCTAGGATCCTTGAACTTTTGCTCCTGGAATCTCTTCATTTCGTATAGTATTTTAATTCCCTTATATAATGTAACGCTCGCTCTTCTAATTTGACAACCTCCTACTGTGTCCAGAAATTGTTGTGATTGATATATCATTTTATATTTTGATTCTCATCCTAACACTTTTGCTTAATGTGTGGGATATTTTTCTCTTTTTCAATTCTGGTTCCTTTGTGGTGGGCCATTTGGATGGCTTTCTTTTCTACCTAATTTTTTTTAAACATTTGTAGAGATGTTTTCTTGGGAACAGCAGTTCAAAGACATGTGCAAAACTAGGTCACAAATGGCGCCTTTATTTCCCAAAATTTCTCTTCAGATGAGAATGTTAGGGACATGTCCGTACACATAATTTCAGTCTTTTTGTTACCATTCGAGCCTTGTACTTTTACCAGCATCCATCTTATGCTGGCCCACTTCCAAAAATGCAAATATTAGGGAACATACCAAGAGTACAGAATGTTAGAGCTCAGATTTCTTAAGGAATTCTACATCATTTGAATGATGCCTGCTGTTTATGCATTTTGCGGTTTGTCTCTTAACTAAAATTCGTTTATATTGTTTACCACTGTCCGGTCATTTAATCATTCTCGATTTGAACTTTGTTTGTCCAACACTTGTAGTTTTAGTGAAGTGACCGCTTCATGCTAGCATGCTACTTCCAATAACATTTATACTTCGAGATACATCACAATATACCTTTTCAGAAGTTGGCATTTGATTCACTTCTTGATTTTTCAAAATCTCAGTATACTTGTTTGTTCATTGTCTCTTAATCAGAGCAGAAGAACTGGAGACAGCATTGATGGAGATGGTAAAGCAGGATAATCGACGCACGTTGACTGCCAAAGTAACAATGCTGATTTGCTAGCTTGTGCTATTCAACTATTAATTTTGTCAAATTTTGCGTGTTCTATCATCTATGTATTGGAAAGTGTGAACCATTCCAATTATTATTGGAGTTGAGAAATCTCTGAAACAAGTCACTTAAACTGAAGAAAAAGAAAGGTAAGACAGAAACTTCCAGATTACCAAAAAGTTGAAAATAAAGAAAAGAAATGGACACAGAAAACAGCAAGATTTCTTTCAGGGTAGGAAACAAAACGGTGCTGACCATAGGCCAGATTATAAGATCCTATTTCCTCGTATTAAAATGAAACTTCTCGAAAACAACTGTATCTTTCTCATTTACATTCTGATTAGGTGGTTTGATCTGGATTCAAAGTTCAAATATATTCAACATGCTATCTAATGAACCTGATGTCGTCATAAATTTGTCAATGTCAGCTAATAATTACCACACTTTAGATGAAATTGATGAGTTGCTTATGGGCATCTCCAGGAATTAAGAAACAGCGGCGTGCTACAGTAGGTTCTAATCCTGGTAGCTTCTTTCTGATTGCCTCAGGATTCAGTTTAGGGTAACTGGTAAAAGCTGATGAGCTAAACATATACTTTCGAGTTTTGAACTACTAATTAGTTTTGTCGACAGATTCCAATTCTGTGAGTTCCTTCTGGGTACAGGTTGAATCTGGTCTCGTTCTGTTGTCATTCTCCATGAGTTTTAATTATGGTTTTTGAATTGGTATTTGGTAATACAATCTTATTTATAAATCACCTCTACTTTAAACATAAGGCCCATACAGATGGTCCAAGATTTGACTTGAAATATGTGTCATTTCAAATCCTTGCTGGAGAAATTCTTGTTCTCAACGTTGCCTAATGAGACTCGAGCTTAGATGGAACTTTGGTGTTCATAATATAGATCACTATCCTTCTCCAATCATAATCTGTACTTCTTTCAACTTTATTCTTTCACTTGATAGGTGGAGCAGTTAGAGCAAGAGGCAGCTGAGTTGCGGAAGGCCCTTTCAGAAAAGCAGGAGCAAGAGAGTGCAATGCTTGAGGTTTCTCCTTTTCTTCATATACATCTTTGCATGGACACCTTAAAGTGCTTGATGTGTGAGTTGATGTTCCAGTAACTAATATAGGTCTTGATGCGGGTTGAACAAGAACAAAAGGTAGCAGAGGATGCTCGTATTTCTGCTGAGCAAGATGCTGCTGCTCAACGATATGCCGCTAATGTGCTACAGGTTCTTCTCTTCTTTGAAGATCTGATTTATGCTTCACTGAATGCCTTATTTGTCTTTTTTTCTCTAGTCTAAGTAATTTAATAACTCAATGACCTTTGGATGGAAAATAACCTGTAACTTGAAACTCTTTCTTCTATCTAAAACATCTGTATGTCTCTACTAATTGGTGCCAAACTACCAGTGTGTCCCAGGCTAGTGCTTCCTTGTCCTTCAGTATGCTTTTACCTAATCCAGCATGCTGATTCAAGATTGATTTTGGGGTTTGCACATTTAATAATGCCTTTAAAATTGTGATTCTATAAAATATCATTGTGCAGACCTTCCCAATTGGGCATTAGAAACTTTATGATTAGATTGAGCTAGAATTTATTACAGCTGAATGGAGAAAAATATTTATATCACTTATAAGGAAAATAAAAGCATCTCAATTATAGAAATTTCAACCCAGGTAGGTTGACCATTAATGCACCTCAACTTTCAGGTATTCCATTTCTCAGGTCATGTCATTAGGGAGAGTATTTCTGTTTGTCACCCTCACCCAGTTCATAAGGTGATTAGGAATGTGCTGCGTGACAAATAATAATAGTCATTAAAGAAACGATAAACCATACATCAGGATGGTCAGTGAGGAAAGCATTAATAAGTGTGCTAAGCGACATGATCATACTTAAATGGAGTTATCTAAGATGGAGCCAGTTATAGAAGATGGTTGCTAATTTAACCAAACCCAACTACTTTGGATAAAGATTTTGCTCCTGTTTATGTCGTAGCGAGGAAATTATGCTTGGCGAAAATATGTTAATCTTAGAAAGCAAACGAAGTTTTAGCAGGCTATGTGAGAAATTTTCTTGAACCTTAAATTCCTGTTTACCTTCAACAGAAACAACCTATAACAGAAACAATGTGTGGACCTCCCCTAGATAACCATGTATGTAGCTGAAGCCGGGAGGAAACTAGCTTGACATAATAATTAAACTTAAAATTTTCACAGACAAGTCAGCCTTGAAATTAACAGCATCAGAATACAATCAACCAAAGAAGCAATTTGCTAGAAGCCTAGAATTTAATCCTACCAATTCCAACAATGTTAACGTAACAGATCTCATGAACATAACATGTCAGTTCTTTTTTGTTTCTTTAGCATCAGAAATAGGGATGAATAGGAAACTATTAAACAGATCTCATGAACGTAACATGTCGGTTCTTTTTTTGTTTCTTTAGCATCAGAAATAGGGATGAATAGGAAACTTAGACTAAGGATAGCATATCCAGTGATTGAAATTTTCATCTCATGGTTCCAGTGGTAAAACTAAGTTGGCACGCAATGCTCTCTGTGTTGTAGAAACCAAACAAACAGTGGATCTCCTCAGCTATTCTTCGTAAACCTCCCTTCCCAGTTACTTGGTCTCTGCTTCTGCATTAACTTTGTGTGTTTGTTTCTGGCGTAACTACTTTGTTGACTTTATGTGTGTGCACGTACACACCATAAAGTAAAGCCATCATGGTAAAATGCACAATGAAAGCACATCAACAGCTAATGTGTTGATTGTATTTTCAAAATTCAAACTTTATTCAAGAAGTTTCTAGCCAAACTCGAGTATACATATCATTCTTTTTTCCTCTACTTTTTTATGGTTTTATACACTCTTACCAGATGCATGCAGGAAAAATATGAAGAAGCTATGATTTTATATGGACAAATGGAGAAGAGGGCTGTAATGGCTGAAACAATGTTGGAGGCTACAATTCAGTATAATTCTAGTCAACTCAAAGTCTCTGCACCTTCATCTCCAAGGTACTGGTTTTGTTGTTCATTTGGTACCATTTCTTTTTGAAGAATTACTGTAAGGCCACTGTTTCTGATTAAAACAGGCCTGGTTATAGTGAATTACGTCTATTTATCCTTCTGCATTCATCTTATATTCATAGGAAATGTTCAAAATTGAAGTGGTGAATTTGAGTATTACCATACTAACTGTCTATTGTTACATTATAGTCCATATTTGTCATGGAAATATTGTCTAGCATTAATAGAAAATTCAAATTTTCTCACAACTTGAATGCTCTTTTTGTAGAACCCCACGGCAAGAATCCTCTCAAGATGCGCCCGTCAGAAGGATAAGCTTACTTTCTCCCTTTGTTGGATGGCGTGACAGGAGCAAGGTAAGTCTCTGAAACCTGTTTTCTCTTTTCATCCTAATTAATGGAGCTTTTTCCGCTCGGTCACATGCACAGTAGTAACAGCATCATTTGGAGAATTGATATAGCGCTTTATGATTTAAAAATAAACTCCTAAACAGGGCAACTTTGTGCATGGCCATTTCTAGAAGACAGAAATCTAGCTGGCTGGCTGTAGCATCTGAATGGCCATGAACTTTAAACTCATGCTGTTAATAGGCTTAGTGATCATTTGCTTTTCGTACTCATGCCAAATAAGAAGCAATAACAATGAAAGAGGATGGATAACTAATACCACCCATTTTTTTGGCATGAATCCTGTGTCATGTGGGCAAAGAATGCTTTTTGACAAATAAATGGCACACACAAGGACACATGGCATGGAATTTGCAAATTATTAAAAATAACTAATCGGGCTGTGATTAGTTCGGTTACCAGATTTTTATTGAATAACTAGGTATTTCCTGAGTTGGCAGATGCAACTATTGAATTTTTATGCTCCTTGAAAGTCTAAATTTCCATTCTCTGAGAAAGCATGGTACTCCATGCTTTTTATACCGTAGGTATTTGCTTCAGAATATCAGATTGTTCTTTTGGTCTTACTGTTTGCATCCTTTGTACTTTATATAAACGCTAGGGCAAACCAAGCAACTCTGAGGATTCCAGCGTAGGCAAAAACTCAAATAGCAGAGAGGGAAGTGGCAAAACACCAAGAGAAGTGTTGAAAGAGCAACAAGCAAAGGCTGTGAATGATCAACAAGAAAAAGATGCTAACGATCAACAAGCAAAAGATGTTAATGATGAGCAAGCTGAGGGTGAATAGCACTCTTGACGTAGAGGAGCATCTAAACTCATCTAGTGGCCGAGAATGCTGCTATACCAGATTCGTCTAATTATAACGATTTCCTCAGCTATAAACAAGTTTCACGAGGAAATTGGGTGCCTACGCTACAGTATCAATTGGGTACGCAGTTTTTGTTCTACTTGATGGGCAAAATTCGTTCCTTAAATATCGTAAGCTCTGCCCGTGCTTTCTCAGAATACATCGAATCAAACCTTCAATTTTGTAAGGTGGATTTTCCTCCTGTCGGCCTGCTTGCAGAAGATTGTATGTTGTGATTCATTCCAGTATCTGTATAGTTGTGATCTACCTATGCAAAGAACATGCTCGAGGATGTTAGTTACCCATAAGATAATTGAGAATTACATTTCAAAAATTTTGTTCGTAATTCTCTTAGTAGACAACTGAAGGGCAATGTAAATTGTGTAGGAACTGAAGGCAATTATCTGTGTTTTCCTGTCAATAAACTGGTAAAAAGAGTGGATTTGTTTATATATTACAATATTTGTTTCTCTATGGAGGATATGGATACAAATATTACTGTGTTATATTTGTTTCCTTGCTGGGGATATATCTCTAGTGATTACAATCTGCATGTATTTGTTCTTTCAAGTGGATACAACCGAAAATAGCAGGACGTTCTGATGTAGGTATTAGTATATCTGTATTGCTTTAGACATGAACATCAGTGCAATATCATGAAAGATGAACCGAGGCAAGATTAGTGTTTGTACTTCTTCGTCTTCCTTTTTTTCCCCCCTTTTATATTGGCACGATGAAATGTGGTCGATTCTATATATTAGTAGCTCCGCCCGTGCAGTGCACACGCGAAAAAAATTATAGCAACACAAATGGTAAAATTCACTAAAAATCTCTTTGAAAATAAGTTTGTGGGGTTTATATAAAAAAGTATGGGAATATGTCTACAGCGATAAAAAAAAAGCTTAACCAGTCAATTATTTCTCGTATTTCCTTTTTCCCTCAAGAATGTGATTTAAAGAAAGAATGTGGTTTAATTGATTTGAGAATCTAGTTGCGAAAAAAAAAAGGATAGCTTAAACTTTTATATTAACAAAGTAAAGATATTTAATTTGAGAATTCGAAATAATTTAAAATCACAAATCTAGGGTCTTTTATAAAAAATCTTAATTTTATCATATCTGGCCTTATTTAAAGCTGATCATAGTGAGCTCGATCATACAAAAAAAATCATTCCATAGTCTCAAGCCAAAATCCTATTTTAGAGGAGGGCTTCTTTACAAGAAGTAATCTTTTATATTATTTTAATTATATAAAAAGAAAGAAGGTTTTTTTTTTGGGGGGGGTTGGGGGTGGGGGTTGTTGTTTGGGGGCCCAAAAAAGACAAAAGAATGAGTAAGAGAGGACAGATGTGAAGGAAGGACAAAATAGAGTTGGACCAGTTTTGAAGGGCGAAGTTTCTGTAGCATAAACAATTTTTTTTACATAATAACATAGCTTTCGTATAAAAATGGCTAAAATATCTCCTGTATGATGCCATTTAACCGGAGAAAGATTGATGGAAACAAAAATATTAGTGCAAAATGTTAGCAGTATTCGGAGTATTTAGTTATTTCCACCCCTCCAATAAGTGGGCCGGGGGTAACGGGCTGTTGCTTCATCATGCAAGAAAAAAAAGGCCTCAGGCTCGAAGTCCAGTAAAAAGTCAGCTATGTATTTGGTTGTATGAATTGTCTATATTCACTATTAATGTTCTTATTTTGTTATAATTTAGATACAACAGTCAAATCCAAGTCAGACTATTTATATACATTAAAACATAACAATTCAAACCTAGATTTCTCTTCTTAAAAAAAAATCGAAGTTATAGCTAGAGATACATTCAAATTAGGCTCCAAGCTAGTTCAAACTAATTAAGAATCATCCAAGAATTAACCTATGGCAATCCCCATCTCCATCATGGACTAAATCATCTCTAATTAGGCCGGTCACCTAAATTATCTTCTATCAATTATTCAAACTTCATTAAATATATATAGACCAAATGGATTGACATTGATTTCTAAAGAAACACAAGTCATGAAAATGAAAATGAAAATGAACACCTTAGTGGTGTGCCACTTGCATCATTCGATTCACAACACTCGGCGCTCTTTTACCACGCAATTCTTTCTCATGGATGACAGCCATGTAGCCTTCATAGCGACTTCATGCTCGCCACTTTAATGACTAACGAGGATATATAAAAAATAGCTTTGCTACATAGATTCAAAATATGGGACTAACAGGAAGGGCATGTGAGGTGTCCTCTCCTATTGCATAATGAGCTGGTCATCATTAACGATGACCCACTTATTATGTAATAGAAGGGGGACACCTCACATGTCCCTCCTGTTGATCCCATATTTAGGGTCTTTGGGGAATTTTTCTATAGCTCAAAAAGGGAAAAACTATAGAAAGTGAAAGCATTGGGCTGGAGTCCACGTGCTCAATCTAGTTGCACCAAGATGCTGCGCTTTTTCTTCAAGGGTTTCGAGGTGACATCATGTCTTCAACAATTGTTAAGGTATGGATTGTTGGAGTTATAACTTAAAACTTGACATTGTAGTGGGAAAGTTTAGTCCCACATAGGAAATGGAATAGGAAGAAAGGGTGTTTATAAGTCTTTCCCTTCTCTCTTATGCCTAGAAGAAAATAAAGGTTATGCTCCACACCACACACATGCGAGCTGGCCGGGCTCGGGTCGGGTGGCGCGCGCGCACACGACCTTCGGACACGAATGCAGCTCCGAATTGAGGGGCTTTTAACCTGCTACATTTTAAATTTTTATTTTTTTGCTAACTGGAACAATTAAAACGTGTTAAGCATTTAAAACAAGCTAAGCAATTAAAACATGTTAATCATTTGGCTGCGAAAATAAAAACGGCTAGCTAAATAAATGGGCGGGATTTGTGGATGAGGGCTATAGACACTGAATCAAAAACGAGTTTCACTTCTTTTCTTCTCTTCAAAACAAAGTTTTCTTGCTGTTATACGCTGGTTCCCTGAAAACCGAGAAGAATTCACAAAGCCTTATTGAAGCTCGTGCCGACGAGAAGGAGGTCGCTTGACCGAGGATCGTTGTAACTTCGAGAACTTTTGTCGCGTAGCCCTGTACGAGAGGGGGCAATTAGATTCTTGAGACATTGCCTTGCACACGCTTCGACCATCAGGCCGTATTTCTAACCTTTTTATATTTTTCGTTACAATTAATTTCATTTCTGTGATAAAACATTAATCTGCTTTTATCTGATATTAATCGTCTGTTCAAAACATAATTTCGTGTTAATTATTATCTAAACAGCTAATATTTCCGACAATAAGATTTTTGAAATTTGTTTTAACATAAAACCATGCTGTAGAAGAAACATACTTATTATAAGATACTAAAAAGAGGGCATGATTGGTTATATACTTATCGTCCATTTTACAAAATAGGCTGCGAAGCCATCGGCTTGTGAGCCTCCCACCTTGCACACCGATGTGACTAATGGGGGCTCACAAATCCCTGTCTCTTTAATTTCATGACTGCCTTGATGAATACAGTTAAAGTGTACAATTCTTTTAGTTTGATAACCTTTTTGCAAATTGTATAATCTTTCCTACTATCAAACATGTTTTTCAAGTAAATCACATCAAATTCAACAACTGTCACATTAATATGCCGGTCTACAAGTACCATAAAACATACACACTATACGCAGAAACACATATGTATAAATGACTAATCCCACTCATCTTACCATAAGAATGTATACATAGTTGGATGATAAAATCCTATGGTTTGAAGATTTTTCAAATATGACGTCTCACAAAGTATAGTCTTTCTCACTTACGCTCACATGCATGAATCGATCATGTCAGACTAACAGCTATACTGGACACTTTTCCAAATGAAACGACATATCCATGTAGAATGGATTAAAGAAATAAGAAATCTTCAAAATCGCTTCGACAGATTTTTTTTTTTTTTTAGGAAATAGGTCTCATTCATTTTTAATTATAGAAATCGAACCACTTTAAGTTAATCGCGGTACTAATTAGTCGGGGTTACCACCCCCGACTAATTAGTAGCCTAATTACAAACGGGATCAAGGAGCGGGGAAGGTTTGCGGCTGCTAATTAGGCTACTAATTAGTCGGGGTTGACAACCCCGACTAATTAGTACCATAATTAACTTAAAGTGAGTCGATTTCTATAATTAAAAGTGAATAGGGTCGATTTCTTTAAAAAATTCTGTTGAGTCAATTTTGAAAATTTCTTTATTAAAGAAAATATATTACTGTACAAAAATATTCAAAAAGGCTAATCTAAAACTAGGTCTACCCTCGATCGCTACATTCATACTTTTGACGTAGTAGTTGAAAATTGTAGTTAGCTGACAATCTATATAGTAATGATCAATTAATCGTAAAATCCAATCAAGTCAGCATCTAACGTTGTTAAGCTTCTATGACAAAAAAAAAAAAAAAAACTTGAATGTTCTTTTCTTCTAGGAAATTGAAATCATTTTGGAAAGGAACTTTGCTGCATTTTACCACCAATGACTGAGGATCGATAATAAGAGCAAAAGCTAGCAAATAAAAGTTCGCAGCTAGGGCTCGAGAAAAAATAATGATAGGGACACACCCTCTACCATACTTCCAATCACACCATCTCTCTTGTTATAGTGCACATGATCCACATGAGATTTTAATTTTTAAAATCTCATGTGGACCCTGTGCACTGTAGCAAGAGAGGTGGTGTGATAGAGAGTGTGGTAAAGGGTGTGTGACTGGTACCTCTCCTCAGAAAATAGTTGGAAGTGACAAATTGCACCTTTTTTGGACCGCCGACATGGGTTCTTATTTCCATCTTCCCGCTCATTTTAGGCCCACTCTGTTTGGACTGACGCCCAAAATTCACGCTCACATGCTGTAGATCTGTTTTTACTATTCCCGGTGAAACTAAAAATAGTTAATTTTGAGGATATCTTCTATAAAAACAAATTTTGGGAAGAGGAGTTCGAATATAGAAAGACAGGATTGTCTAGTGTACGGGCTACAAATATGTGGCGGTTGGGTCGCCAAAGTTAATTGAATGGCAAGCATTGACTCAAGATTTTACTGATTGGTAAATTAATTTAGGGTTTTTCTATAGAATGCTCATGGGCACTCTATAAGAGAGGAGAAAGATAGAGAGAAGTGAATTGTCCATAGAATTTAGTACAAATCAGGAGGGCCCATGGACAATTCACTTCTCTCTATTTCTCTCCTCTCTTATAGAGTACCCATGGACACTCTATAGAAAAACCCATTAATTTAAATGTAAAATGAAGATTTTATTTACCTTTCTGGTTTGGCTAAACGCGACAAGAATTTTCCATGGCTTTACCCAAGTTAATACCCTATATTAGCTGATACAAGCTTAAGAAGTTGAAATCATAACTTCCAATTACAAATAGCTAAGTTATTTTAGTTTGTAAAGTGCAGGAAAATGGTGTAAATAAGCTTTTCGATGTTCAATTGTAAAATAACTTAAGGTTGCGTTT